ATACTCACAGTCTCACTGTGAAATTTTTTTATTTTATTTTTAGAAATCTTAATGAGAGAAAGGTAATTTGGGTATTATAAAAGGTTCATTTTTTTTGCCTTTTCTCCCTATGTATAGAGATTTGACAGTGGAGATCGACAGCGACCTCACATCCTTTTTTTTTATTTTTCAATGTTAATTTCATTATTTACAAAAAAAAGAATATAAATTTATTTTTGTTTTATTCTGAAATATTTAAATGGGTTTTTGGGTCATTTTGTCAAGGGGTATCTGTCCCTTAATTTTTCTTCCAAAACTTTGGGTGTCCAAAAAACACTTTCGAGTTTACAATAAACCACTCATTTTCTAATGGTAATATAAAAAGCCCAGGCCCGTTTATAATTGGACCAAGGTCCAAACAGGCCCAAATGGGCTCATGAAAACCCGAGTGAAATCTCCACCGTCCACCTGTCCACCTGTCCACAAGCTCATCCAGAAATCCGGGAAATTGGTGCTATCCAAAACCGCAAATCCCTAAGATTTCTCCGTCTTCGTTCACAAAAATCGAATATTTCACCTGAAAATTTTGCAACGTCCGAGCAAAAATGTTGAGACTTGCGGCGAAGAGGCTTCTCCAAGGCGGCCGTCTGGGGTCACCGGAGGCTCAGTCGCCAGCGGTCCTGGGCCTGCCACGTATGTACCACGAGAGGGTGGTGGACCACTACGACAACCCCCGCAACGTAGGATCGTTCGATAAGAATGATCCGACGGTCGGCACGGGGCTCGTCGGCGCGCCAGCCTGTGGCGACGTGATGAAACTCCAGATTAAGGTCGACGACAGCACGGGAAAGATTGTTGATGCCTGCTTCAAGACCTTTGGGTGTGGATCGGCCATTGCTTCTTCTTCTGTCGGTTAGTCACGTTTAGATCTGTGTGTATATATAAATATATATATATATATTCAGATATTTGTGTATGTTATTTACTGTTTGGTTGCCTAGAAAATGTTTTGGCAGACAAGAATGAAATTGTTTTTTAATAGCAATCGGAATCGGAATTCGAAGCTTGCTATATGGACTGTAGTGTTTATTGATTGAATTCTTTGGTGATTTGTTGGATTAATTTGAGGTATGCATAAGAATGTGTAGCTTTGAGCTTATAACTTGTTCTGTTGGGTTGCCAATTAAAATTTCCAGTTGTTTAGATTGAATCCATACCTTTTCCCAACTTTTCGTATTTCATTCCAATTCGTAGAGACAATGATTAATTTGTTTATTTGTGTAATCATCTCGGAAGGGAGAGTCTTGGCGCAACGGAAAGGTCGCTCTTTTGTTTTGAATCATGGAAACAGCCTCTTTGCAAAGCAAGGGTAAGGCTGCGTATGATAGACGTTCCCCTCACCCTTGCAGAGCTGGGAGCCTTGTTGGCTTGAGGTTGCCATTTGTATAATTGTCCGGGAACCGTTTTGCTGTTTCAGTAATCAATCAACTGCAGGCACAATTTGGGGTAATGGGAGATTTTGGCCCACTGAAACAAATCGGTTGTGTTGCTGCTTTCTTTGAAGCTAATAAATTTGGAATTGTAATATTTATATAGGTTTAAGATGAATAATTGTTACTGTTTCATGGCTTATGAATCTTACCTTGCTTAGTTTTTGGTCTTAAATTGGCTAATATGATTCTTTCTGGACTGATAGCTTCGATTTAATTTGTCTAATGCTGGGTTTGTATCTTCTTTCAGCTACGGAATGGGTGAAGGGGAAACAAATGGAGGAAGTCCTGACTATTAAGAACACGTGAGTTCTGCTCTTCCTCTTATATACTTATCGAATTTCTTTTGTTCATATTTCTTGCTGATATTGTCGTTAACATTATGGTCTTGGATATTTAATTGAGTGTATTTTTGGTTTGCATGATGCTAGTTTTGTTATTTTGTTATTAACTTGTTGGCTTTGTATGAACCTGTGACTTCTGCTTTTGTATTCTCGGCATTTAGTTAATATTAGTATGTATGATACTTACCATGGTGTCCTTCCGCCAACTAATCGATATTCATGTTATCATGTTTGAGCTCTGGTTTGCTGTTGCTCAAAGAGTTTGTTCTGCTGGAAGCCTTGATAATATGTCATTTTCTTCACCACATTTTTGCTCATTGTTTTGATTGGTTCTTTTGAATGTCGTTGCAGAGAGATTGCAAAACATCTTTCCCTACCTCCAGTTAAGCTTCACTGCAGCATGCTCGCGGAGGATGCCATCAAGGCAGCTGTTAAAGACTATCAAACCAAGCAAACCAAATCAAGTGGCAGTACAGAGACATCTCCTGTGGAGAAGGCTGCCAATGCTTGATTTTTCTCATGTGAAATGATGATGAAAAATTACAGTGTCCGGTTTTCTACCTGTCCAATGTTTACTAGATGTTTTAATAATACGGTTGTACTGGATGAGACTAGCGTCCGTCGATCCGTATTTTTTTCTTTTTGTGTTCTTCTCTTCTCGTGGAATTGCAGCTGTATGAACAAACAAGCTTTTTAGGTATATACGAAAGATGGTTTTTATGTGTTCATGTGGATCCTTAACATGTTCAAACTCCTTTTAGCTTATTCAAATGTTCTTTTAAAAAAAAAAAAAACAGTTGTGTCTACATTTGCTGGAATCTGCCATGAAAGTGGATGGTGAAGCTTTTTGTGGCGAAACTCTATATTCTCTGGACCCTGCCATGAAAGTGGATGGTGAAGCTTTTTGGGATGAAACTGTTACTGTTTGGATCCCTTTTTCATCCGAGATTTGATTTGGAAGTGAAAGTAGATCCAAACAGTGTTTTACCAGCCCTTGCATGTTAACAGATTAAGTTTAGTATATTGTGACTTGGTAGTAGTCTCTGTTCCTTTTCACTTGTAAGGAAGATGTCTTAGTTTGATTCTCACTAAACGAAAATTTGAATTACATTATTACTAGGTTTAGCCCCATCCCTGTAGATTTATTATTGTTTGTTAAAAAAAAAAGGTTTTATCTTTTTTTTTTTTCTGTTCTTTTTGAGCAAACGATATTGTAGGGGAAGGGGCGGGCTTAACCTCATAATGAGTTAGTAATAATCTGGTTCAAATTCGTTTTTGGTAAAAATCGAACCTAAGACCTCTCACTTACAAGTGAACAAAAATACCACTAAACCATAATACATTAGTTTAAACCTTCTATGTGGTTTACCCTCTTACTTTTACAATTCCAAGAATTACTAGTTGCTAAGTGTAACCTTTTAGTTTCTCCAATATTTTACAGTGCTAATGATCCAATTGGTAATATTGCAACTTTACACCCTATTTTGATTTTACGTTTTGTCGTGTATTCGAGTCGATTTTATATTATTTATAAATATTGAAATGACACAAAATATTCATTTATAACGATATAGTAAAATAATTATGAATGTTAGGTACCCTATTTCATAACAAAATGTTTGAGTACATACTAAGAACCTCGCAACCAAAAAATTCCACCAAATCACAAAGGAAAGTAACATAGTTTAACTTCTGAAATCAACTACCAAAATAAAATGGATTCATGCCTTGGGTTTAATACTTGTTAGCAATAAAGTTGATTAAAAAAAAAAAGATTGACATATTTTGACCTCAATTTGCGGAGAAAAAATCTCATTTCACCAAACGGATTGAAAATGATAGAAGTGAATTGACTGAAGGTATTCAAAGAGTGAAAATGAGTGAAAACGTAACTAGAGATAGAAGAAGATAATTGATAACACGATAAATGTAAATTATCGCACTTAGTTCACAATTCAAAACATGACCCACAAAATTATAAATTTTTAGTTTTCTCCAATATTTTATATAGCCAATCCTTTTGGAACTTGACAAATTTTCCATCTGAGCTGCTAAATACAAAAATGCTAATATACCGTGTACATTGATGTTATGGTTATTTTTTGTTGGAGTCAATTTTGAGTGTTATAAATATTGAAATGACACAAAATATTCATTTATAAATGTGTAAAGTAACTGTGAGCCGGAAAAATATTCTCGTCGGATCCTTTTTTAGAGATAAAATCTCATGATCTTCATTATTCATTTCAAAATTTAAAATTTAAAATTAAATATAAATTTAAAATTTAAAATTTAAATTCATCATAATCACATAATTCCTAGGGGTCCAGGGACGATCTCTAGAGTTAAGTCCCAATCACATCCTTATAAATATAGGGAACTTTAACGAAAAGCACCCGGTACTGTTCACTTTAACGAAAAACCACATTTTTACACTAAAAAGTCAATCCTGGTACTATTCACTTTACCTTTTATTTTGTCCTTATCATTAAAACTCAAAGTTTTCAAGCCCTTTTCATTAGTTTTCCTATAAATATAATCCCAAATCCCTCTCTCTCTCTCTCTCTCTCTCTCTCTCTCAAAGCCGCCAATAATCCTTTTTTTTTTAGAAAACTAATGAAAAGGGTTTGAAAACTTTGAGTTTTAATGATAAAGACAAAATAAAGGGTAAAGTGAATAGTACCAGGATTGACTTTTTAGTGTAAAAATGTGGTTTTTCGTTAAATTGAACAGTACCGGGTGCTTTTCGTTAAAGTTCCCTTTTTTTTTGGAGGTGGATTGTCTCCCCTTCCATTTCCATACCTTTCTCATATTTTTCTGTTTGTATGGTTACGGTTAAGCCACGTCAACATTTTATATTGATTTTTCTATAAAAATAATAAAACAAAAAGTAATAGGAATATAAAATATTGACGTGACTTAACCGTGACCGCATAAAACAGAAGGAGATGAGAAGAGTATAGAAATGAGAGGACAGGCAATCCATCTCCTTTTTATTTCTTTCTTTTTCTTCATCTTCTTCAATCGAAGCTGGATCAAATTCTTCAAGCCCGGCATTATGCCAGCAGCAAGCTGACGTGCCACGGTTAAATATTTGTTTTGTCCTTTTAGGCGCGTGTAACACATGCGTGGAGAAGGAGAGTGGGACGACGAAAACCACATGGTATTTCTTCACGGGCGCCACAGCACGAAATCAGCGTATATATCACGCGCTCCCTAAGCGAGTACGTGTACACCACCCAGCCCGCCAATCACCGGAGGAACAAACCAAACCCATCACAAAACCCGAGACACAACAACTGCTGACTGCCCCAAATCTCCTTCAACGAAAGGTACCAATCTTTTCATGATCTCTCTAACTGCGTTGCTGCCTTCCCTCCTCTCGGATCCAAAGTCTCACATTTTTAATGTTTCCCATTTGATTTGTTTTTGTTGACATTCCAGTTCAACCACCTCCCTCCCACTTCCTCACCTAACCCCACTTTTTAATTTACCATTTTTGTTGTTTTTTTTAATCTTCTGGGTCATTTCTTTCAATTTTTTGTTTCTGTTTAATTACATAATTTACTTGTGTTTTCTTGTAATTTAATGTAAATTTTGTCTTTGGTGGTCAAGATACATTTAAAAGCTTGATAATTTCAATTAATTTCAGCCCAATTTTCATCAAAGTCAGCAACTTTAATTCCAATATCTTCAAAGTTTGTAAATTTAATCCATTTGTTCAACTTTTTTAATCAAATTTTAATTAGGTCAAAGTGGGCACACGCAGCCCAAAGGGTAACAGTTGAGAGGTTGGGAAGGGTTGATATTTGGATTAATGGCTGGATTAAGAGAGGACCCAGTTCTTGGAACTAACGATATAAAAGAGAGAGAGGGAGAAGAAGAAGCTGACAAAATTAGTTATACTTTAGAGTCCCATGTGGTGATTAGAACAGAAGGAGGAGAGGTTGAGAGAGATATGGCTCAGGCCACCGGAAGTTCGATTCACCGGTCGGGTTCCCGGCCTCAGTTGGACCTCAGCAAAGCTGCCATTCAAGGGAATTTTGAAGAGAGGGACCCTACAATTCTTCTGCCTAATCAGTCTGATGACCTGTCTCACTTGGCTTTGGACATTGGAGGTATAATTTTTATACTTCACTTCAATCACTTGTTTTTGAAAAGTCTTGTGGTTTTTGGATTCTAAATTTTCTGTTTTGTTAGTTTTCACTGTAGGGGATTGTGTTTTCTGTTGTTCTCTGCTTAGCTTTATAGATTAAAGCGATCATCTTTTTTAAGGAAAGTAGAAGTTTGATTTAGTGGAGCAAGAGGCTTGTAGCTCAGTTGGTTAAGTGCGCTCACCCGTGCATGGAGGTCCCGAGTTTGATTTCCCCCTCCCCCAATATCACATGTATAAAAAAAATGTTTGATTTGGTGAAGAGAAAGGGAAATTATGCATGCATTACTATATATAGAGAGAATGGCTTAATTGTGATCGTTGGTGTTATAATTTGTGGTGTTTTAAGTTTAGTTGTGAATTTGTGATCAGTACCTGCCTGTGTGAGATCGCGTGCAAAATTTTGAGTTCGAGGAAACTGTTTTAGTGTGTTTATAAAAATCGGCATTTTAAGCTGTTTAATGGTTTAATGGCAGGATCTCTCATCAAGTTGGTGTATTTCTCAAGACATGAAGGTCAATCAATTGATGATAAAAGGAAGAAAACTTTGAAGGAAAGATTGGAAATATCAAATGGTAGTAGGAGAAGCTATCCTATTCTTGGTGGGAGGCTTCATTTTGTGAAGTTTGAGACGAACAAGATTAATGAGTGCTTAGACTTCATCTATTCGAAGCAGCTTCACCGTGGTGGTATATTCTTCTGGCTGTTCTTTTCTCTTGCTGCAGTCGTTTTATTCAATAGCCAAGCATAGTAGATTTCTTGAACTTATATGATATTTATGCTTGAATCCTTCAAGTTTTTAGCAAAAACATATACCTGTGTTCTAAGAAAGACTAATTGTGGATAGGAATGGATGCTCGTATCTGGAATCCTGATGCCCCAACCAATGAAAGTTCCGTAATTAAGGTAATATAATGGTTTATCGATCTTGTTTTGTATTTTGGAATTCCATTATTTCTGTGTATTTTTAGGGATCATACTAACATCAATGAGTGAATTCTTGCCTGAAGGCCACAGGTGGTGGGGCATACAAGTTTGCGGACCTCTTCAAAGAACGGCTTGGGGTTAGTCTTGACAAAGAAGACGAAATGAATTGTCTAGTGGCTGGAGCAAATTTTCTACTCAAGGTGGATGTTGGTACAAAATAACATTTTCTTATGGATCAGTACTTTTTGCTCCTTTTTATGTGTTTTTCGTTTGAAAAATGATATGAACTTCTTGTTTGTCCATTAGTTTCCAGTAAGAACATTAAAAACTTCTAATTCTCTGCTCCTGGATGTTGACTTTGCCTCTATCAGTAAATTTGAGTTGAGTTCATATGTTACCAAGAAAAACAAACTTTAACTTTTGCCTTTTTGTTTCACTTCATTTGTGTTATTAGAGGTTTTTTATTTGAGAAATCTGGCATCCAGTGTTTATTTGGTGTTCTCATATGCTCATCTCTCCTCCTTGTGTATGGGAGGTGTTGAATGAATTACCGTCTGAAAAAAAAAACACGATGATTTGGAATTATCACGACATTTTTCATTCATGGCTTGCTGATAAATTGTGTGGATACCATACAGGGACGTCATCAAGTACTCATATTATCTTATAGTACATTTTTGCTTTCTTTCCTCCATCATAATCTTACTTCTCTGAGAGGTAATTATGTTCTACCTTGATTTCTAGTAGGCAATTCGTCATGAAGCTTTCACACACAAGGAGGGTCAGAAAGAGTTTGTGCAGATTGACCAGAATGAATTATTCCCGTATCTTCTAGTTAACATTGGGTCCGGTGTTAGTATGATTAAGGTAACTCTTTCTTATGTTTTCTTGTTATTAATTCTGGAGACTTGTTGAGTCTATTTATCATCAATTAACCTATGTTGCTCTAGGTTGATGGAGATGGCAAATTTCAGCGGATAAGTGGGACAAATGTTGGTGGTGGTACTTATTGGGGCTTGGGAAAACTGTTAACAAAGTGCAAAAGGTATTTTGTTCTTCGGATTAATGTTTTGTTGCTTTCCATTTTTCATCTCATCTCTTTCTAGAAAGTTTGTCCAGGTCTTTGACTAATTCATTCTCCATATCAGTTTTGACGAGTTGTTAGAGCTGAGTCAACGGGGAGATAATAGGACTATAGACATGCTTGTTGGGGACATTTATGGTGGTATGGACTACTCAAAGGTATGCAGATTGTCTATTCTGTGGAGAACGCTACTCTGAAGTTTGGAGCTGTAAATTAGTCCAGAAATCTTAATATTGATTATCATGAATTATGCAAATTTCCTTAATCTAGTAGAGTGACTAAGCATCCCTAATCATAAAACATGTTATAGATCGGACTCTCTGCGTCAACCATCGCCTCTAGTTTTGGGAAGGCTATTTCAGAAAAAAAGGAGCTTGAAGACTACAGTCCTGAAGATATATCCCTGTCTCTCTTACGAATGATTTCTTATAATATTGGCCAGGTGTTTTTTTCACTTACAAGATTATGTTATTGTTATGCAATTTATGTTGTGCCTTATTCGAATATGTGATATCTAAAGATGTGCTGATTTTGGTGATCTGATTGGACCGTTTGGTGCAGATAGCTTATCTAAATGCACTACGGTTTGGTCTGAAGCGAATATTTTTTGGAGGCTTTTTCATAAGGGGTCATGCTTATACCATGGACACTATCTCCTTTGCGGTTCAGTTCTGGTACACATACAACTTACTTATCAAGTTTTAGACGTTAAATCCTCTTCTTCCTTGTCTTTGATCTTGAGTATAATTTGTTTACTGCTTTATCTTAAAGTTTGAAAATATTGGATGTGTGTGTTTTTTAGGTCGAAAGGAGAGGCACAAGCAATGTTCTTGAGACATGAAGGTTTTCTGGGGGCTTTAGGCGCATTTATGAGCTATGAAAAGCATGGTCTCGATGACTTGATGGTCCATCATTTAGTTGAAAGATTTCCTATGGGCGCACCATATACCGGAGGAAAGATTCATGGTCCACCACTTGGGGATTTGAACGAGAAGGTAAAGTGTTATCAGAGCTGAAAAGACCTGACCTCGAGCTGCTGACCCTCTGATAATAATGGATCTGGGTTGTATGGTTTTCTTTTGTTTAGTTTCAGGAAGGCATTAATCCAGCTCTAAATATATCAGCCTGAAAAAAATAAATAAAAAAATAATCAGAATTCAGAATGTCCCGCAACGTATCACAGCTTTTTTTTCTGGGAGTGGAAAAGTGACTCCACTACAATGATGCTCCAGAATCACATCTTTTGATACTATTCCAAATAAATAAATAACTCAGGCATCTTTGAAAATTAGATTATTGGAGCAACTATACAGGCGCATATATTCTTTCTAAAGGCCAACTTGGCTCAGAGGCAACAGGTTGCAATCTCTAGATGAATTTCCATAAGAGCTGCCTGAATATGGAATATAGGAATAGGAAAGGGGCAATCAGCTGCGGTTTCAATTGTGATCGACTTTTGAGTATGTACAACTACAAGCCATTGTTTCTGACTGGTCTCACCATGAATGCTCCTATATATCATTCTATTTTATCGTACTTTAAGTCTTTGCTTCATGTTGTTTTCTCGGATTTGTTGATGTTCTTGTTCACGTTACTTGTATCAGTTTCTTTACTAATAAAAATTTGGGTTTCTTATGAAAAAAGGGGAAAGACTATAGTCTTATTCTTATGCTTCTTAATGGAATTTGGACAGATACTATATTGCCTTTTCAAGTATGACTAATAAATCCTAGTACTTATGTGAGTCGGAAACCTTGAATGCAGATTTCATGGATGGAAAAGTTTGTTCGCAAAGGGACTGAGATTACTGCTCCAGTACCAATGGCTCCACCTGGAACTACTGGACTTGGAGGCTTTGAAGTTCCTTCATCCAAAGGAGGTACTCTGCGTTCTGATGCAAGTGCTTTAAACGTTGGGGTTCTCCATCTGGTACCCACTTTGGAAGTCTTTCCATTATTGGCAGACCCAAAAACGTAAGTTAACTTACAGATTGTTGTTGATCATTACTCTCCTCAGATTGTAGCTGGGGCTTAGATTAGTTGGTAACTGAACCTCTCTAATAGAGTGGAGGTTCCAAGTTCCAACACACCCTTCCCATATGTCGGAATATCCTCACAAAGCTTGTGCTTTTACGGAACTTCAGCAGTTTCACTCAGTGTATTGGTATCGTTTATAGTGATACGAGTGAGACCTTAATATGTTTGTGCTGTCACGAGTCACATCTTGTACTAGGATCTTAATTATTGGCGCTTTTACACTATATGGTTTTTTCTTAATCTTTCATGCCTTTTCAACTAAATACTTGTTTCATTTTTCTGATTTTACAGGTATGAACCCAACACTATCGATCTCTCAGATCACGGAGAGTTAGAGTGAGTACATGCTGTTACTTTCCTGTTTGTTTAGAAATCCATAGAATTCATCTGCACAACGTTAGTAATTATGTCGATATTAGTTTGCTATGTGTAATTTGGGGTGTCTTTCATGCTATAGGTACTGGTTCACTGTGCTGTCAGAGCATCTACCAGACCTTGTTGATAAGGTAAACATTAGCATTTGTCAGAGCATCTGTTGATATAACTATATCATCTTTTGCTGTCTGAAGCTTTATAGGCAACCAGATGTTATGTGGTTGTGCATTTCCAGTTTGTTTTATTATTGATTTATGACTTTGTGAAGTCTGTGTGAAATATGGTAGGCAGTGGCAAGTGAAGGTGGGACTGATGATGCTAAAAGAAGGGGTGATGCTTTTGCTCGTGCCTTTTCTGCTCACTTGGCACGGTAACTATGCTCTCTGAGAAATTACATTTCATATTTGTTGAATATAACATTTTGGTCAGTCATAAGGTTTGAGACTCCCAATTCTGTGCATGCAAGTTTGCAATGCTATCATGTGTCCCGTCTGAAACCTGTTTTCTTATAAATATAAGTTCTTACTTCTTACAGATCCATTAAATTTGATATGTACTTATTCTATTAACAACTTCCAACTGGCCGTATAGGTTGATGGAGGAGCCTGCTGCATATGGAAAGTTAGGGTTGGCCAATCTGTTGGAACTGAGAGAAGAATGCTTGAGGGAGTTCCAATTTGTTGATGCGTATAGAAGTATAAAACAAAGGTAATTTCACTTTATTTCATAAAGCTGATAAGATGATTTCGATCAAGTTCTAGCACGTATACTCTTTCGCAAGTGATGTGGATGAGAGTATGACAATAACTCTGAGGGTTCTACCTCATAAACCAATTTACGGGTGCCTTTAGATAGTGTAAAAGAAAGTCTTGCCTAATGAAAGTCATTGTTAATTTACTTCACTGATGGTGATTCTAACCCTCTCCTGCTTTATGAATGTAACAGGGAAAATGAGGCATCACTCGCTGTTTTAGCTGATCTGCTAATGGAGCTCGATGGTATGAGTGAGGTACTATTCCCATTCTTCGTTGAATATGGTTGTTACCATACGCCATTATGGTATTTGTTGATATTTGTCCGATTCATCTTTCACTGTCGTTGCAAAAGTTTAAAGAGTATGGAAGCCTACTCTATATTGGTTAAACTGTGGTAAATATAACTTCTTGTGGGCATGGTACAATTGGTTCCTTCCAGTACAGTTGAGCCATTCCATCTGACACTTTCAAACTGGTGTTCTGATCATTTGAAACCTTCTTAATTTACAGGAAGCAAGACTGCTTACCCTTATTGAAGGTGTTCTTGCTGCGAACATTTTCGACTGGGGATCCCGTGCTTGCGTGGATCTCTATCACAAAGGAACGATTATTGAAATTTATAGAATGAGCCGCAATAAGATGCAAAGACCTTGGCGCGTAAGTGGATTCAAATCCAAGTTCCCATGTCCTTTCAATTGTTTTAAATTAATTGCCAATTGGCTATTCATATGTAAATGAGCTTTTAATATGTATGCAGGTGGACGACTTTGATGTTTTCAAAGAGAGAATGTTAGGATCTGGAGATAAAAAACCTCGTCCACATAAAAGAGCTTTGCTATTTGTGGATAACTCGGGTGCTGACGTTATTCTAGGAATGCTGCCCCTAGCACGGGAACTTCTCCGACGGGGAACAGAAGTAAGTTTATTGCTGCCCAAGGCTCATTCCGTATCTAATTAAGTTATTCAATGAAAACGTCGTAATAAGATTGATTTTTCAGGTTGTTTTGGTTGCCAACTCCCTTCCAGCTCTAAATGATGTGACTGCAATGGAGCTTCCTGAAATTGTTGCCGAAGCTGCCAAGGTTAGTCCATAAGCACGATTTCTTTCGTTTTATATATAAAAATGACGAGGAAAAAGGAAACTGATTCTTCTCGTCAACAGCATTGTGACATTCTTCGCAGAGCTGCTGAAGCGGGAGGCTTGCTTGTGGATGCAATGGTTAGCACTCTAGATGGTTCTAAAGGAAATTCATCTTCGGTTCCCTTGATGGTTGTTGAGAATGGTTGCGGCAGTCCTTGCATAGACTTACGGCAAGTTAGCTCTGAGCTAGCCGCTGCTGCAAAAGAGGCCGATTTGGTACGATGCTCATTCAAACTACTAAAACCATTGTCAAACATTACTTATAACATAATAAACACCCGAAGACAAAAAACAAATGACGTAGAAAAACTCTTCAAATCATTCTATTGACTTAACACTATCCGTGCAGGTTATCTTGGAAGGCATGGGCAGATCTCTTCATACCAACTTTAATGCGAAGTTTAAATGCGACGCTTTAAAGGTGAGGATTTCAATGGTTCTCTTAGTTTGGTGTGATGTTTCCATTAGCCGGTATTCCCAGTAAGACAGAGAACCAAGTGAACTTTGATCCAACCTGCCATAGGATTCTAAGATTTTCTTTTACACAGCAGTAATACAAAACGACTTCTTTTGCAGCTTGCAATGGTGAAGAACCAAAGGTTGGCCCAAAAACTGATCAAAGGCAACATATACGACTGCGTTTGCAGATACGAACCAGTAAGTTAAAAGCTCCGGTTCACAGCTTCTCGTACCGTCCGATTGTAAGCCATGGGAGGTCTCGATCTCAGGAGACAACTGCTCGATACAAAAACGAATAAAAGCTTATGATTTTATGCACCTACAAGGACCCCAATTTCGTGGCGGGGTTAATGGTTCTCTTCTTTGTATGTTATGTATTTGTTCATCGCCGTCCGAAAGGATGCGGCTTTTCGCTTTGTGTAATCAAAATCGAATCAAAATAATGTCGTCGACAAAGCTAAAACAAGAGGAAAAATAAGGGAACTTTAACAAAAAGTTCTCGGTATTGTTCACTTTAACGAAAAATCACATTTTAACACTAAAATGTCAATTATGGTACTATTTGTTTTACTTTTTATTTTGTCATTATCGTTAAAACTTAAAATTTTCAAGTTATTATCATTAATTTTCCAAAAAATAATTGAAATTGTCGCCAAAGGTCATACATTGCAACCAGCTAGTTATTATCTACGCTTTGTAACAGTCGCTATCTTGAACTTTTTTCTGATTAAAGTAAAATCATGTTTATCGTTTGACCAAAAAAAGATGAAAATACTCGGTTCTGGTTTACAATCTACGAACATATTCTACTTTGGGGTGTGATATTCATACACCATTTTTTACTTCTCTCATATCTTTTTGGTTTTCGGCTATCGGATCAGATGAATTGAAAAAGATCAACGGACATAAATTAACAAAGGGTGTATTAGAAGTAAAAAATGATGTGTGGATAGCACATCCCTTTTACTTTTATGGGATCCGCATGTTTTTTCAATTTAAATTGCTATAAAATATTTTTGGCTAGCAAGTTGATACTCCGATCATACTCTTATCATTTTCTGATCAAATTTACGAGCTACTCAACAATATTCCGTTTGACCAGTTGGGATTGGAAATTATACTCTGAATTCTTTAGAATATTCTATTGTATTTTTATCAAAGTTAAGCAAACTACAAGATTGACCAATTATAATAATTAGCCATTAAACTTTCATGCATATGATTTTTTTTTAACAAACAATTAAAACCGCCTTTGTTAAAAATTGAATCTAAGATATTTCACTTATAAGTGAAGAGGAATAGCATTAGACCGTAGTAGTCTGTATGAATTAAAAAAAAAGTTAGACTCAAATCCCTTGGATTGAAAAACGATATCATGCCAAAGGAGAATCAAATATGACTAAAGTGCTTGAGCTCTCACGTGCATTGGAGGAGCTGGTGACCACAAAAAGCCACCATTAAGTACGGACATTTTGATTCAACAAAGCGGAGAGCGACTCACTCCCTCACTCCCTCACTCCCTCTCACCTACTCACTCAGTTCGAAACGCATCTTTCGCCTCTCGCCCTTTTCCCACAGATTCCTCAAAACTTCCAACTCTCAAGCGTCTCACTCTCCGACCCATCAATCTTTTCCAACTTAGGGTTCTTCTGGGATCACACAGGCTCAGCACTCATGGAATAATCATGGATTTTTCTTGAGGTAATTTCATCGGGTCCTCTTCTGCAATTTCTTTCTTTTGGTTTATTGTTCTTCATTTCTAATTATGATAAGAAATTTGTTTAAAATTTAGATTTTTTCTTTCAATCTGCCCTAAGGTTTTGCATTTTTCTTTTGGGTGCTGAATTTTTTTAGTGATAATAACAAAGCTTTGTTCTTTTTTTTTTTGTTTATTTTCGTTTTTTTTTCCTTCATTAGGTTTGATGTTGGGAAAAATTAGTGGACTTGTTGGGAATTTGATAACAATGGAGAGGCCAAAGACCCCAGAAACCCTAGAAGCTCAAAACCCTAGTGGTAAAACCCTAGAAGGGACATCTGGGTTGTTAGGGTGGAGTGAGAACTGTACTGGGTTGGAGTCTTTTCCCGGAATTTTGGGAGGTAGTGGAGAAGGAGTTGGTGTTACTGGTAATGACGTTGGACTTGGCTATGTGGAAGGGGTGACTCAAGCAGTGGAAGCCGAGAAGGGAGTTCTGGATGGTAATAACGGAGAGGATTTGGGATTGTTGGGTGTGGATGCAATTTCTGGTGTGTTTAGTAGTTGCAAGAATGGTGTCGGGGTTGAGGAGGATTGTTGGCTTAATGGTAAGGTTGGTGTGGAAAATGAGGCTCAGATGGTCTCTCAAAGGTTGCCATCAGATATGGGAGCTGACGTTCAGATGGATTTTGTGGAGCTACAGTTGGATGGGAACGGAAATTTGGGTGGTAATGAGAATGAAGCGGGTGGAGTTGATGTGGAAAACACTGCTCAAATGGGTTCCCAAAGGTCGCCATCAGATAAGGGAAATGACATTCAGATGGATTTTGCGGAGCCACAGTCAGATGGGAATGGGAACTTTGAGGACTTGGGTGGTAATGAGAATGAAGAGGGTGGAGTTGATGTGGAAAACGATACTCAAATGGGTTCCCAACGGTTGCCATCAGATAAGGGAAATGACGTTCGAATGGATTTTTTGAAGCCACCGTCAGATTGGAACAGGAACTTAGAGGACTTGGGTGGGACTGAGAATGAAGAGGATGGAGTTGAGAAGATAGCTGATGATGATGATGGTATGAATGAAGGCAAAGCATTGAGATTGAATGGGATTGACTCATCAAGCAAGAAGATAGAAGTTTCCGATGATGGTATATCGCTGTTTGTGGATTTTAGTGGCCCTCCACCAGGATTTATTGAAGATGATCTTCAGGTGGCAAGTTGTCCTGGATTTGCAAGTACAGAAACTGTAGACGAATTTGGAGATGATGGACAGGAGAAGGATATTGATTATCAAGACTATGATTTTTCTGCAGGCGATATTGTATGGATTAAAACCAAAACCCAGACATGGTGGCCTGGTAAAATTTATGATCCAGTTTATGCATCAAAGTTTGGTGCCGGTGGGGATCCAGGGGGCTGTCTACTAGTTGGATATTTTGGGATGAGTCATGTAGCATGGTGCCATACATACCAACTAAAACCTTTTCATGAGTATTTTGAGCAGATGTCGGGGCAAAGCAAGGCTAGGATATTCCTTGGAGCTGTTGAGAAGGCTCTTGAAGAGTTTGGTCAGCTTGTAAAATTGAATATGACTTGTATGTGTGTTTTGAAAGGAAATTGTCAGTCAACTGGTGAAGCAGAATCTAACAAAGGAATTCCCATGCCTGAGCACAAATCTGGCAAACTTGGTGAATTTTCAATTGATCATTTTAATTCTGCAGAGTTTCTTGCGCATCTCAAAAATCTTGCACTGGTTGTTTCCATGAGTGGCACGCTTGATTTTGCTGTCAAACGAAATCAATTATCAGCCTTCTACCGCTCCATAGGGCACAGCCACCTGCCTATGCATCTACTCCGGGAAACAAATGATGCTGAAGATGGTGATTGCAAGTCAGTGGCTAAACGAAATGTCAACATTCAGGTTGGATATGGAGATAGTGAGCTAGATGAAGAGTGCTTGAAAAGCACACCGTTAAATAACTCTCAGAAGAATGAAGGAAATGAAGTGTTAGACAAGGTTTTAGATGGAGACAATATTGCTGATGAGGGTTTCATCTCAGGTTCAAAATCGAGGAGGAGAAAGGTGAAGAGGGATTCTGACTTTGAATATGGTGATGTTGGAAATGAGGGAATGACTGCAAAAGGCATTGAATCAAGAGAACGGAAGAAGACCAGGTACTTGTCTAAACCAAACATAAACTTGGGACAGAAAGGATTGCCTGCTGAAGTGGATGATGAGGGAGTGGCTGCAAATGTTGATGCCAACCAGTCTAGTGGGCCGCGTTTTAATTTTAAATTTACTGGTGAGAAATTCTGGAGAAAGTGGTATGAAAGGCTTACAGGTGAAAGTAACATATCTGGTGACTCAAACTTAATAAATGCATCTTCTGCTGAGTTGCTTTCTGAAGTATACTCTACAGCTGTCAATTGCCTATATCCAAACGAAAATAAGACATTTGATTCAGTTGCCTGGTTTGTTTCTAGATTCAGGATTTCAGTATTTCATGATGAATCTATTTGTGAAGTCTATCGTAACAATATGGCTGGTCAGGAAGATGCTAAACCTTACCTGTTGGGATATAGCGGTCAAAATGAGGCAAAATCTGAACCAAAGAAAAGGAGGAGGAAGTCTAAGTTGAAGAGTCCAGACGGAAAAGATGCTGCCAGCATGCCAAATCTAGTTCAAAGCATTTCAACTGCTACAAAGAAAAGGGGACGACCAAATTTGGGTAGATTGAAGACTAAATCCCTTTCTGGACTGTCAGATGTGAAAATTGGCATCGCCCCTGATAGCTTTATTGTGCAAGAGTCGTCGGATGTACACCCTCTCATGCCGTGTGGTAAGCAAAAGAATAGAAAGATCGATGATGTAGCGAGTCCTGTTTGTCTGCATATTAAACAAACTACTGGAATACCGGATTTAAATGGGAACAATCTTCTACCTAGCCTTCTTGTTGATGATCAACAGGCTATTGGCACTGCTGCTTCTGAAGGTAAAGTTGTGTTAGAAAATAGGTTAGGGAATGAAATGGCTTCAGAGCATTTGACGTCTAATATCCCTGGCTTTGTAGATGTGAATGTTAACAATGTGAAACCTGGTTCGTTGGTTGTAGATCTGCGTGTTTCTCCTCAAGCTTTATCTCGCCTGGACCCCAAACAGATTACGGGCTTACTCTCAGCTGAAACTAGGCCTGCACAGAGAAGGAGAAAGAGAAAGGAGAAAGCACAACCAAAGCCTCCGGCTGATGGTATTCCAGATTTGAATGGAAGCAGTGCTGAATGCAACTTATTTGGAAAGGCATGTCAAGAGCCTAATGGCCTTACGCCTCCAATTAAACCAGAGCGGAAGAGGAGGAGGAGGAGAAAAGGAGAAGCTACTGCTATGCAGTGGAAACTGGATGCGAATAATGGTAAAGCTCAGATTAATGATAAGGCTCTGGCAACTGCTCTTATGTTAAACTTTTCCCCAGGAGTATCAATGCCTTCAAAAGATGATTTAATTTCAACATTTTGTCGGTTCGGACCTTTGAAGGAATCGGAGACACAGTTGTTGAAAGATCCTGGCAGTGCCCAGGTTGTATTCATGGAAAATGCTGATGCTGGAGAAGCACTTCGGAGTCTAGAGAAGGACAACCCCTTCTGTGGAAACCTCGTTAGTTACAAGCTCTTCCATCTTCCATCTGTGTCCAGGGTTTTAGAACCAGGTTGGTCTTTTCCAACAGGTCTAGCCTCTCCAAGTTTGCCTGAAAAGGCCCCTTGCCTTGACTTCATAAGGCAGAATCTTCAGATGATGACATCGATGTTGGAGAAGTCGGGTGACAATCTTTCTCCGGAGATGCGAGCAAAACTGG